ATAGGTGCGAGTGGGGCTACCTCCATACTCAGTATGGCAAGAAAGTGGGCCAGAACAGCACAATGGACATCACCAGGGTGTGTCATGTCCTGATCATTGGGTACTGCATTTACTTCAATTGAAAGCAATGGAGTGACCTCATCTTCCAGACTGCGCTGCAACAATGAAGAAAGAAACAGAAGTTTGCCAAGGAGAGGGCTGGGCTTTCCAAGTTACCTGACCTTAAAGATGCTGAAGCAGTTCAGAGACTTCTCTAAAGAAATTCAGCTTGGTGAAGAGTCACTAGCCCAAGGTGAATAAAAGATGAGTGTCGACTGTCTGACCAATGACATTGCTGTATGTGGACAATCACAACAGTTGCCTTAAGTGCTGCAGCAGATGCTGCCACCTCTCATGTTCCAGATGCTGCTGACCAAGCTCCTAAAAAACAAGCAGAGAAATTTTAAAAGAGGTTTTTACCTTAGGGTGCCTGCACTCACTTCAGAGAGACAGAGAGACAGAGACAGTGAGAGAAAATATGAGAATCACCTCCCAGCATAAATGCCCATGCCTCAACATCCTCCCCTTTATTCTCCTCATGGGATCTTGGGCATGAATTCACAAACACCTTGCATGAGTTTCAAGCCATCAGGTTTGAGATTTGAACCATAGTTGGCCATGTGGGAATCCAGCGAGGTAACAGCTATGCTGTCTGTTGGCCTTCATCAGAGTATTTTAAGTGGCCATAACTTGGCTGAAAATGATGTGGAGTGAGACATAAATATAAACATAATAAAATCACAATTAATTATATCTAAAAAATTCTGAACATGAAAGGTGAGCAGCCCTAGAGAATAAGGGCAAATGTGTTTGTTACAGATTGTCCTATGCTGAAATCTACCAAAGATAAGGTTTTTTTGGTAGATCTATTTGTCTGTTTTATTCATTTTTCCAGTATAAAATGTATTTTGATAGAAAACTTCTCAGTTTATAAATACACTTATGAGTTATCAAATTATCATGGATTTTTTTATACCTAAATACACTTATGAGTTACCAAATTATCATGGATTTTGATACCTAAATTAAGCAATTAAAATATACATATAATATGGAATATTTGCTGCCTAAAAAGGGTGGGGATAGGTGAAGAATGCCCATTTTTAAGAATTATTTAACTTATTTTTGTTATTTAAACAAAAAAAATCCTGTAGGGCATGCACATTCATCATAAAGAGAGAGTGAGAGAAAATGTAAAAAAGGAAAACACTATGTCTGCGATTGGAGCTGCTTTTTACCATATGGGATTCCAGTGCCTTATCAACCATATAACCTTCTGATCCTAAATACACATTAAAAAAAATGCAGTACATTTTAGTATAAATTCAAAAATTGCATAGAAATTTGATTGTGTTTATGAAGACTGAGTAATAAAGTTCCTGAGAGACAATTTCTTCCTACTTGCTCTCAAACATTAAAAAATTAATACAGGTATAATGTCCTAAATGGAGCCACTGCTTTATGGCTGCTGGTCCCAGTAAGAGAGCTCCCAAGCACCCACCACCATCCTCAGCATCTCCAGAGGGCAGGCCTGTCTGGGGAGAGTGAGGCACCTGGTACACCACAGCCTTCATTGCCAGTTCATTTCTGGTCCTGGCTATGTGAGCTCCAAGAGGTGGCTTTGCCCCCTGGCCCAGGGATGTGACAGGCAGCAGGTTCCTGTAATGAAGGTTGGTGCAGAGATGAGGCAGAGGGAGGAGGATGGAGGAAAGCAAAGAAGAGGAGAAGGCAGCTACAAGCAATGGTGGATGACCAGAACCACAACTTGGAGGCAACCTTGTAAGGTTTTCTGTAGCAACTGCCAACTCCACCACTCACTTTGTCAATCCCACTTCCTGCCTGAGAGTTTTCAGAGGGCATTTCTGGTGGTGTCTGCTGTTTTGTGGATAAGAAAGGCACAAAGGAGGAACTCTTGATGAGGTCCCCACCACCACTGGAGGCCAAGGGGGTGACCATGATGTTAAAGAGGTGCCACTTGGCTGCAGCCAAGGCAACTCCCAGCTCTACCATCAACATCAACACCTCCACCTCCAATCTCTAAATGAATATGAATATTAAATATAACAAGAGCACATACTGGGGGCTTCAGGTCACTTAGTGGTTAAGGCACTGGATGTTGATATGATCAACTGTGGTTCAAGTACCAGACACAGCAGCTTGAAATTCATGCCAGATACATGTGCATGTGTGCCCAAAATCTTGAGAATAGAATAAAGGTGAAGGGATTTAAACATGGCCAGCCCCCCCAGGAGGAACTCTTGATGAGGTCCCCACCACCACTGGAGGTCAAGGTGGTGACCATGATGTTAAAGAGGTGCCACTTGGCTGCAGCCAAGGCAACTTCCAGCTCTACCATCAACATCAACACCTCCACCTCCAATCTCTTAATGAATATGACTATTAAAGATAACAAAAGCACATACTGGGGGCTTCAGGTCACTTAGTGGTTAAGGCACTGGGTGTCAATATGATCGACCGTAGTTCAAGTACCAGACACAGCCGGTTGAAATTCATGCCAGATATATGTGCATGTGTGCCCCAAATCTTGAGAATAGAATAAAGGTGAAGGAATTGAAACATGGTCATCCCCCCCAGAGGGTGATTTTTCACTTTCTGTGTCTATCTCTCTCTCTCTCACTGGCTATCAAACATACCCTAGAGCAAAAATCTTTCAAAACAAACAAGCAAGCAAACAAAAAACAATAACAAATCCTGGTAAAATAGAATAACTTTTTAAACACAGAGTCCTGATGTTTATATCCCTATATCCTGTGAACAGATATGCAGTTGTGTGTATAAGTGCTTAAGACAGCAGCACTGGAACAGATGTATAATGATCTGATTTAAAATATTAATCACTTAGAGGAACCAGCAGATTGCTAATGGCTATGTTACTGGATTCCCACATAGTTGACCATGGTTCAAGTCCCAGACCCAGTGGCTTAAACTCATGCCAGGTATGGGTGGGCAAGTATCCAAGATCCTGAGAGGAGATTGGAGGAGAAGGAATTGAGGTGTGGCCATCCCCCTTAGGGGGTGATTTCTCACTTTCTGTCTCTTTGTCTCTCTCTGTGTTTCAGTGAGGAGCATGCACCCTATAGCAAAAACCAATCTTAAAAAAAAAAGATTAATCACTTAGCATCTCAAAAGAGTTGCATGCCAGTCCTATATATCTCTATATTAAAATATTTAATATAGACAATACATGGGAGCATCACAGAGCATTGTGCCTCTTTTCATATATATGAAAAGCTTTACATTGAAAATAGTTTAACAAGGACTTAAAAGCTGGCCTTTTAAAGTTGTTCATGGGACATGTTGAAAAAAGCACATTTATAACAGAATGGCTTTACTTTTAGAAGCCTAGTCAATACCATTCAGGTCATGTCTTCTACTACGACAAATCTTGTGAAGGCCTGTATATTCTTACACCAGAATGGGTTCAGGTGCCTCTAACTCTTTTTTCTAAATTTATTTCCAATATTTTCCTTCTGACAGTAGAGCATGGACTTTCTGAATATGCTGCTCAAGATCAGAAACTTCAAAGAGAACTTGTTCAGAATGATTTTAAAGGAGGTGACCATTCCCAGAAGAGAATTGGGGATAAGTTGGCTTGTAACAGCTCATCAGCATATGCAAGTTCCAGGGGGTAAAACTTGCATATGCTATCAGGACAGTGAATATATTCAGTGTACTTTCCTTCTGGAAAAGAGGATGACTGAAGCTGCAGAGAGTGTACTCAGAGCACAGTGGGGGCCTGCAGACACTCAAGAACTCTCACAAAGTTATTCTTTTTAAAAAAGAGGTTTTTGCAATAGGGCATATGTGCTTGCTAGAGAGAGAGAGAAACTGAGAGACAGAGAGCATGAAACCACCCCCCAGGGAGGATGGTCATGCCACAGTCCCTTCTCCTACATTCTCTTCTTGGGATTTTTGGCACGCGCGCGCCCACACAAACGCACACACACACACACACGTCTGGTATGAGCCTCAATCTGCAGTCTGCAGCTCAAACTATGGTCGACTATGTGGGAGTGCAGTGAAGTATCCATATGCCATCTACTGGTCCCCGAGTCTGTTCTTACAAGAGGACACTGGACTTACATTCATTTTTAATTTTAAACAACAACTGAAAATTGGAGGTTGTGTAATGCTTAAGGCATTGGACTCTCAAATGGCCTACAACAGTTCAACTCCCGAACCTGGTGACTTAAAAATCATACCAGGCGTGTGTGTACACATGCACAAAATTCCAGGAGAACGGAGGAGAAGGGTTTGTGGCATAGCTATCCCCTCTGAGTGAGATTTCTCGCTTTTCCACTCACTGTCTTTCTGTTTCCCCCTCCAGCAAGTGCATACTTCCTACTTCAAAAATCTTAAAAAAAACAAAAACAAAAACAAACAGGGGCAGGCAGTTGGCATGGTGGTAAAGAAGCTGGATTCCCACATGGTCAACTTTGTTTTGATGCCCTAAACCAGTTGTTTGCTTTCACACTTCCCCTCTCTTTCTCTTTCTTTCCATCTCTGGTCAAATTCAAAAATAATAAAAATAAATTAAGTAATTCTCAAAAATAAACAAAACAAAACAAATATTGCTACTATATATGGGAGTGATTTTGAAATGGAGTAATTTCAATGAATTTATCTACAGATTCTGTGAGGAGCAAGCATTTTGGAAAGTGATCATTGCTAAGTGAAAGCCAACAGCCAAAATCAGCAGCTTGCTCCAAAAATACATGAACAGAAGGATAAGCAGCCTGAAAAGCTTGAACATCAGGATGGTCCACACTGTGGAAGCACTTGCACAGATCTCTAAGAAATTTTGGTAGCTGAACTTGTGGGCATTTTGGGAGTATACTTTTGTGTTGAGTAAGATGAGCCCAAACCAAGATTTCAGACAAATGATGAATAATGAATTCCTTTTTATTTATGTTATGATAAATCCAGTGAACAATCTGGGATGTATGAGATCAGAAAACAAGATCAAGAAAAATGGTTGAACAGCAAAAATTGAAGCAGTCATCACTTTCAGCCTTCCATCTGAGCTGTTTGAGACCTGTGGGAGAAGAAAGATGAGTCTTTCACACTGCAGACTCTTGGAGGCCTCACAGCACATCCTACTGAGTAACAGAAACTTTGGCTCTGTCATGGCTTGATTTTACTACCGACCGCTGTTCAAGTCCCGGACCCGGTGGCTTAAATCTCACGCCAGGCCTGTGTGCATGTGTGCCCAGGATCCCGAGAGGAGAATGAAGGAGAAGGGATTGTGGCATGACCATCTCCCCTGGGGGGTGATTTCTTGCTTTCTGTCTCTATGTCTCTCTCTGTCTGGCGAGCGCATGTGCCCTATAGCGAAAACCTCTTCCCCTCCCCCCAAAAAATATTTACAACTGGGAAACAGCAGTTAGTGTAATGTCTATGTCGCTGGATTCCCACGTAGTTGACCGCGGTTCACGTTCCGGACCCAGTGGCTTAGAACTCACGGCAGGCGCGTGTGCATGCATGCCCAAGATCCTGAGAGGAGAATGGAGGAGAAGGGATTGTGGTGTGACCATATCTCTGGGGGGTGATTTCTCGCTTTCTCTCTCTATGTCTCTCTCTGTCTGTCTGGCGAGCGCACATGCCCTATAGCAAAAAAAAAAAACTCTCAAAAAATGCTTACTACTAAGTTTCAGGCTTAATTTTTTTTTAATTTTGGAGTATTTTTAATGTCTGGAATTTTTTTAGAGAGAGGAATTTTTTCCTACAGGTTGTGTACACTCACTGGAGAAACCAAAAGAGACAGAGAGAAATTACCCTCCAAGGGGGATGACCATACCACAATCTCTCCTCCATTTTCTCCTGAGGATTTTAAACACAACAATTTCAATCTACCAGGTACAGGACTCGAACTGTGGTCAGACATTTTGGAGTCCAGCATTATAAATATCATGCCATATTCTGGTTCTAAAGATTGGAATATTAATTAATAATCTCAGGAGGTAATCCAAGTCTAAACATGTATTATTCATATGCTTTTTATGTACACATTCTTAAAGTAATTATTTGAAGACTTATTTAATTTTTATTCATTTATTATTATAATTTTTCTCAACCTGTGACAGAGCATGTGTGCCCATTAGATAAAGACAGAGTGATAGAGAGAGAGTGTGAAAGAAAGAAAGCAAGCTGCCAAGTCTGGGACTCAAACCAGGATCAACCATGTGGGAGTCCAGTGACTCAACCACTATGTCACCTGGAAGACCTATAAGGTAATTTTATACAGTATTTTTTTTCTTTTTCTTTCCTTTTTTTTGAGAGGATTTTGCTATAGAGCGTGTGCGCTCGCCAGCCAGACAGAGAGAGGCAGAGAGACAGAAAGCGAGAACTCACCCCCTCCCAAGGGGGATGGCTACACCACAATCCCTTCTCCTCCATTCTCCTTTTGGGATCGTGGGCATGCACGCACACGCACCCAGCGTGAGTTTTAAGCCACCAGGTCTGGGACGTGAACCACTGTCGACTATGTGGGAGTCCAGCGACTTAGCCATTACACTAACTGCTGGTCCCAATATTTTTTAATTTTAAAATTTTCTTTTTTTTTTTTTTTGGAAAAGTTTTTGCTATAGGGTACGTGCACTTGCCAGACATACAGAGACAGACAGAAAGCAAGAAATCCCCTCCAGGGGGGAAAGGCCACACCTCAATCTCTTCTCCTCCATTTTCCTCTCAGAATCTTGGGCAAATATGCATATGTGCCTGGCATGAGTTTAAGCTGTTTTAAAAATTGTAATTTTTAGAATGGTGTTAAAATATACAAAATTTGGACTAGCAGGTGGGTACAGGATCTGAACTGTGGTTGACTACATGGGAGTCCAGCTACATAACCACTATGCAATCTGCTGGTCCCTGAATTGTAGCGTTTTGACTATGACCTGTCACATGAGGTTAACTGTAGAATATTCCACCTGTGGCATCATGTTAATGCTAAAAACATTTCAGATTTTGTACCATTTCAGGTGTTGCATGAGGAATGCTTGGTCTTTACTATCAGAAATAAGTAGAGCCAGCAGGTGCAGTGGTGCTTAAGGCACTGGACTTCTACATGACCAACCTCTGTTTGAGTTCCAGACCTGGTGAATTGCTTTCTCATTTTCTCTCTCTCTCTGATCAAATTAGAAAATAATAATAAGTAAAATTAAATAAGAAATTCTTCTAAAATACCAGAAGTAACTAAAATGTATGTAAGGCATATAAAGTTACTTAAACTTATATTATTTAAAAATAGCCCAGATCCCTAGAAAACTTAATAATTTCATAATCTGAGACTCCAGAAATATTTAGACAAGAAGCCTTTTTAAAACTGAGGTGTGTACTGGCATGTTCAGGGGAGCTGTGCTCTAAACTGCATCTCCAAGGCTCCCAAAATATTCATACACTGTAGGACAACTTCTGTATTTTCTCTGTCTCAGGCCACCTGTCTCTCTATCTCACACACTCTCTCTCTCTTTATATTTTTACTTTATTTTTTTAAAATTTTTAACCACTTCTCCTCACCTTAGGTCTTTTCTTTCATCTGAAATATTTCACATTTTCTGGGATGAGAACTTTAGTATCATAGTCTTTTGGCAGTATTAGAATAAATAGTACTCAATTATGGGCTACATTCACCATGCATACACTCACCTTCATACCACTTCTAGAACTGGGTATATCCCACATGTCACCTTGTTTCTATTTATTCCAGAAACCCTGTTGATGCTTTTTAAATTTTTTTTAATGTTCTGGAAAATTTAAATAGCACCTGGCAGAGCCAGCAGGTGGCATGGTGTTTAAGGCACAGGACTTATTTCATTATGGCCAGGTACGCTTTTGGGGACCACTCCATCCTGCGGCAAGAAGCTTTGTAATTTTGTGACTAAGAGAGGCCAAAGTACTTGTATCACACAACTGCTTTTATAAATTGTAATTTTTAGAATGGTGTTAAAATATACAAAAGTTGGACTAGCAGGTAGCGAAGTAGTTAAGGCATTGGACTTCCACATGACTGAACATGGTTTAAGCCCTGGACCCTGGAGCTTAATACTCATGCTGGGCACTTGTGCATGCATGCCAAAAATCCTAGAATGGAGGAAAATGGAGAAGGGATTGTGGCATGGCCATCCCCCTAGGGGATGATTTCTCACTTTTTCTCTCTCTGTCTCTGGCAATTGTACATGCCCTTTAGCAAAAATCTCTCTCTAAATAAAAAACAAAAATAGAATGAAAAAAATGCACAAAAACCTAATTCTGTATGATGCCTTAGCAAGGAAGGAAAGGAATAATATCAGTCATTGGTGGCTTCCTCACCAGTGTACAGAAGATATTTTATCGCTATGCCCAATATCACTCTTAGGTCTGCAACACACCATCATGGTACAAATGAGTCTTATGATTTACAAAGGAGTAGGATACTTTCCAGAGAAGACTAGTATATCTTTAAATTCCAACTCTCTACAAAATCAATCCACAGATTCCTATGAATGACAGCCTCTGCTCTGTCCACTGATAATTCTGGTGTCAAATACTCATTACATAATTTAATATGTAATAACCAAAAAGAACTCTATTCTTCACTGAGCATTTCTCTTTTGTCATATTTTTTCTCTTACCAGCCATTTTGAAAAATGTGGGAGGAGGGTGGGACATGGCAGAGGGTGAAGAATAGGGAATCAAGGATGGCAAAAAAAAAAAAGGGAAATATACAAGACATAAAAAATGGAAAATTATTTGTTGATAACACGTATGTTGATGTGCTTGATTGAACCAATATACAGTGTATTTTGGATGGAAAATTCATTTTGTATGCTTTGATGATGCACAGTGAATTAATGTAAAAAATAAATTTGAAGAAAAGGGAAAAAAGAATAAAAAGAAAATTATTCTTGAAAAAATTTTATGACTTGTTTATTCATTTATTTTTATATTTCTATTTTTTTATTTTTAGACATATATGATATGTAGAAAGATATTTTAACTGCTGTAAACTTTGGGGGTTGGATAAATTGAGTGATTTAGTATGTATTACCAGGGCCACAGGTGGTGTGATGCTTACGTTGTTGTACTCCCAATGCGGCCAACTGCAGTTAGAATTCAAAACTTAGTGGCTCACTTTTTCATTTCCCCTCTCTCAGTCTGCTCAGAATTAAGAAATAATAATTATAAATAAAATTAAATAAAATAATCCTTTGGAAGCAACATTATTTATCACCACATAGATTGTTTCTGGAATGAGAAAACAATATCTACTTTCAGAGTATTTTTCAGGTATACAATATAACATAGTTAATAGCATTGACACAAGTACATTAGAACCTTTGAACTCATTCATCTTCTCTAATTGAAATATTATTATTTTTGGACCAACATTTTAATTTTAATTTAATTTATATTTAAAGACATTTTTGCTATATGGCACATGCATTCGCTGGAGAGAAAGAGAGAGACAGACAGACAGAAATCATGAAATTACACCCTGGGGGATGGTCACACTGCAGTTCCTTCCTCTCCATTCCCCTCTCGGGATTTTGAGTACACGTACACAGTTGCCTGGCATGAGTTTTAAGCCACTGGGTGCAGCACTCAAACTGTGGTCTTGCAGCACTCAAGCTGTGGTCTACCTGGGAGCCCAGCAACATTATCATTACACCATTAGCTGCTTTCCTCACCAATATTTCTAAAACCTGGCCCCCTCAGCCTGTAGTAGCTGTCATATTATTTTCTGCTTTTGTGAATTTTAGTTTTTAATATTCTACTTACATGTGAGATGATGAGGTATATGTCTTTGTGTACTTGAATTATTTCAATCAGCATAATGTCCTCCAAGTTCATCCTTGTTGTTGAAATAACAGAATATGTTGTGCCACTTTTAGGGTCCATGTGATAACTAGAGACTGAGGAAGAGAGAAACACTTTGCAATGGAGGTTCATCATGCTTCAATCCCTTTTCCATTTCTCCACTTTATTAGTATTTTTGGAATGCACACATACATACAAAGTGTGTTTCTTAAGCCACCAAAAGTGGAATTCAAACCATAGTCAGTTATTTGGAACCCTGATCTTTTAAATATTAGGCTATGAAGCTGTAATGCAAAATTATTTTTTAAGGCTGGATAATATCCTATTGTATACATACATAAAAGATTTTCTTAAAAATTCACTTAATTTATTGTTATTATTATTATTATTTAATTTTCTATTGGACACATGTGCTCACATAAAGAAACAGATAAAGAGAGAAATAGAGAGAGAAAGAGAGACAGTGAGAAAGGAAGCAGACAAGTATGGGGCTTGAACGGTGGTCAGTCAGCCATGTGAAACCAGCACCTCAAACACCACATCACCTGCTAACCCCTATAACATGTTTTTTTTTTTTTTTTAGAGCTTTTTCTATAGGGCACGTGTGCTTGCCAGAAAGACAGAGACAGAGATACAGAAAGTGAGAAATCACCTCCCAGGGGGGATGGCCACACCACAGTCCCTTCTCCTCCATTCTCCTTTCAGGATCTTGGGCAAGCACACACACATGCCCAGCATGAGTTTTAAGCCACTGGGTTTGGGACTCAAATTATGGTCGACTACATGGGAGTTCAGTGGCATAGCCCTTATGCCAACTGCTGGTCCCCCCATAACATGGTTTTACCCATTTGTCTGTGATAGTTATGTGAATGTCTTATCTTAACTATTATGAATAAATTTGCTTTGAATGTGGAAACATGAATATATTTTGACATATTAATTTCATGTTTATACATATATAAACAATTATGCAATTGTTAAGTCACATGGTAGTTCTATTTTTAATTTTCTAAAAATCCTTAGAAAACTATTTTCCATTGTGTTTAACCAATTTATATTTTTACCAACAATGTTCAAAGAGCCCCTTTCCTTCTTGTATTTATTAAATTGCATATTTTTTAAGAATAGACTTTTTTTTTTTTGGAGAGTTTTTTGTTTGTTTGTTTGTTTGTTTTTTGCTATAGGGTGCATGCACTCGCCAGACAGACAGAGAGACAGAAAGTGAGAAATCATCCCCCAGGAGGATGCCACAATCCCTTCTCCTTCATTCTCCTCTCGGGATCTTGGGTGTGCACGCACACACACCTGGCATGAGTTTTAAGTCACTGGGTCCGGGACGCGAACCGCAGTCGACTACATGGGAGTCCAGCGACATAGCCATTATGCTAACTGCTGGTCTCAAGAATAGCCATCTTAAGAGGTGTGAGGTGGAGGCTGGAAGGCAGAGTGGGTTCTGAGGCACTGAACTCCTACATGGCTGACTAGGGTTTTATTCCTGGAACTGGTGACTTCCTTTCTCACTTTCCTTGTCTTTCTCCCTCTGGTCTAACTAGAAAATAATAACAACAAAGAAATAGATACAATAAATAAAATAATATTCGTATTAAGTGAAAGAGGTGCAATGTGGGATGTTTCATAATTGTTTTCAGTTGTATTTTCCTAGTGTTTAGTGATGTTGAGTGTGGCTTGAAACTCATTTTCAAGACGAGAAGAGTCATACAGATAGCAGTAATATTTGCAGGACAATGTGAGTGCACACAGTAAGTATGGTCATCTCACTTTTCACATTGTAGCTCATAGTGACTTCCACCAGCCTGTTCCTGTTGCCACTGAGCAGCTACCTTACAACCTACCCACCATAGTTTGGTCTGTTCTACCTGGGTCATGATGTTGGGCAAACCAAAACCAAAACCAGCCCAATACCAATTCACCTTGAGTTGCATTTCTGGACCAGTGGGTGTTCTGCCTCAGAACCTCTTGGCTAACGCTGGCCACAAAAGCTGTGATCAACATCCAAAGAGAACCTTGGAAATTTTATAACCACCCAGGGCTATGTTGTGCCTCAACACACCCAGAACTTTCACATGCCTCCTGTCCAAGCTAGATCAGTCCCATTATCAAAGTAAACTTGGACATTTCACCAGAGGTACACTTGCAGAGCCCTCTCAGTACATATGAGTAGTTCCCAGGCTCTGAAATGTCTTAGAATTTTTTGTTTTATTTTGTTAGGCATTTATGGTACATTTTATTTATTTTTAATTTTAATTTATTTTATACACTTTAACATCTCTTAGCTTATAAGATGAACTTATCCAAAATGAATAAACTTCCCACCAGAGCAGTTGAGGATACGAAACACATTATTATCAACATATTATAATCCATTTCTATATCCCCAAAACGCCTGCCTATTTTCATCTATGACTACTTTCTTTACATTGTCCCCTTTCTCCCTTCTTCTTCTCACATTGTCTGTAGTACCTATAACCATTTTCAAAGTTTATATGGCCTATAATCTTTCAGTTTCCACTATGCTTTGAAGCACTCTTTCTGTTGTCTTGCCTGCCATGAAAGTGGAAGCTAGAAACATTTCTATATTTATTTTTGCCAAAATCAGTTGTTATATTCTGTTGCATCTTTAAACATCAAACATGGAACGCAGCAATAAACTTTTGCTAGGGCCAGCAGATGTTGCAATAATTATGCCACTGGCCTCCCATATATTTGAATACAGTTCAAGTCCCAGAGTCACAGACTTAAAACTCAAGCCAGTGTGTGTACATGTGTGCCCAAGATCCCAAGAGGACAATGGAAAAGAAGGGATTTTGGTGTGGCCATCCCCCCAAAGGGTAATTTCATGCTTTCTATCACTCTGTCTCTGTCTTTTCAGAGAGCACATATTCCCTATAACAAAAATCACACTTAAAAAAAAATACTTGCCAAAATACGCATGTTACTCCACCATGAGCCCCATGTTGCAGGAGCCTGAGGCAACAAGAGAATGAGCACAGTAATACCATGCATATTAAACTTCTTGCTCCTGCCTTTTTCCCATACAGGTGTGCGTTGGTCCCTGTCCCACCTTGAGCCTTTCCACCATAAGCACTCACAGTGCATAAGCCAGTAGCAATGAGAGACACAGTGAATGCAAAAAGACTGCATATCTCACACTTCTTACTGCCTTTTGCCTAGGCAGGTGTGGTTTGAACCCCATCCCTCTGCCCTTCACCACCCTAAGCCCTCAGGATGCAGGACCCAGCAGCAGCTAGAGTGACTAAGAATGAGTCTAGAAGGACCAGGCTTCTCAGACTTCTTGCTATTGTCTTTTGCCCACACACATGTTCTCTGAACTCCCCACACAGTGCTCCTTCACCATAAGGTGCCACAAAGCAAAAACCAGCAGTAGGAAGACAGAGACAAAGTGAGCACAGAACTGGGCATCTCAGACTTCTTCCTGCTTTGCCTGTGGCAGTGTGCTTTAGATACCCTCCACACACACAGCCTTATGCTATAAGCTCTCATGGTGCAGGAGTCAGTGGCAGTGGGAGATGGAGAGAGTGTGACATAAGAATGGAGCATCTCAGACTCCTTCATGCTCACTTTTTTTCTTCACAAGTGTACTCTGGGCATTCCCTGCACCCTTCCACCTTAAGCCTCCACAGTCCAGGAGCCAGCAGCACTGAGAGACAAACAAAAGGACTGCATGTCTCAGACATCATACTGCTGCCTTCTGCCAGAATAAGTGTGCTTTGAAATTGCTGCTCCCCATTCCCAGCATGCTTCTGTAATAAACCCCCAAGTTGCAGTGGCCAGTGGCAAAGAGCACATCTGTGCATTCCCAGAAGGACAGCACATCTCAGACTTCATACTGCTACCTTTTGCCCATGTAGGTGTGCTTTGGACTATCCCCACACCTCACCCCTCTGCCATAAGCCCCATGGTGTAAAAGCCCATGACAGTGAGACAGAATAGAATGGTCTCAGAGTCCTTGCTGTTGCCTTTAGTCCACACAGGTGTGCTTTGGACGCTCTCACCACTCATGTGCCCATTCTCTACAAGATCCCATGCTGGACTGAGCTAGGGGCAACAGAGAAAGAGTAAAGGACAGTGGAACTTCTTCCTTCTACCTTTTGCCCATGCTGGGGTGCTTTAGACTCTCCATGTTCCATGCCCCTCTGCCTTAAGCTCCTAAAGTGCATGAGTGCAAGAGAGAGCGTGAGCACAGGAGGATAATTATCTCAAACCTCTTGCTGCTACCTTTGGCAAGTCTAGATGTGCTTTAAAATGCCCCCCCACCACCACACTGCCCTCCACCATAAGCCCCCAT